AGCGCTTTGAGACTTCTCGAGGACGTGATCAGGCGCTATATCAAATGCAAGGGTTTTTATTACTAGTATTACTGCAATAATAATAATCCTTGCATTTGATATAGCTCTGTTCACGTTTTTGAGACATCTCAAAGCACTTCACAGGAAAGTAAACTGACTGTGTATTTTGTGGGCGAAACGCGGCAGCCAATTGCGCACCGCAGCGTCCCACAAGCAGTCGTGGATTGAAGTGACCAATTTTTTAGTATTGTTTTTTTTCTTCTTGAGGGATTATCATCAGACGTGTGGAGTGAGGAAGTTTGCCCAAGGTTTTGCCCTGCCGGGAATCGAACCCGGGTCTCTCCGCTTGCGAGGCGAGCGCTCTCACCACTGAGCTGCAGGACTCCACTGTGTCCGCAAAAGGAGAAGAGGATTGAGAAGAGAGGGCAGAGAGAGATGGAGGAGAGGACATGGAGGGGAGGAGAGGAGGAGCGGAGGGAGCAGACGGAGAGCCGGGAGCGGGGCAGGGGGTAGGGGGGCGTGAGGGAAGGGGGTGAGGGGGTTGGGGCTGTGGAATGCGCAGTCGGGACCATGTTACTGGCCAGGCTCGCAGTGCTGTCAGCCGCGCCGCGCCGCAGACGCAGTAGATTAAACAGAACCCAGGCTGCTGCTCGCTGTTTACAGAGCCCGGGCAGCAGCGAGAGAGAGAGAGAGAGAGAGAGAGAGAGGAGAGGTTTGCACAGCACAGACCAGCTCGGACCTGGGACCAGGACACGGGATATAATCCTGGCGGCCCGCACGTCAACCTTGTTCTCAGCTCGGCACGTTACAACCAGCAGGCTCTTTGCCCCCCCCCCCACCCCACCCCACCCCGCTCCGCTAACACCAGCCTGCTTCACGTCGCCGTTCCCCAACCCGCCCACAAAACACACAGTCACTACACTTCACAGTCTATCCCGTGAAGCACTTTGAGACGTCTCAACAACGCGATGAGGCGCGATATCCAATGCGAGGATTATTCTTATAATTCCAGCGGTTCAGCGACACACAGTGAGCGAGGGGTCTGTGTATTGGGGACGGGGGGGGGGACGGGACGGGGGGACGGAGTGGGGGGGTGTGGAGGGGGGAGTGTGTAAAGCAGACGCAGCAGAGAGAGAGAGGTTTCTCAGCTTCGAGACAAATTCAATTAATTGGGGATTTCTACACGGACTTGCTGGGAATGGATGGGGGAGAAATGTTACGTCAGAGAACAAATCTGATAATGATTAATCTCTACGTTCATTCAACACGGCTCCTTTCACTTCAGGAGGACGTCTCAAAGCGTCTCGCACACGGGGTGGGCGGGGGGGAGTTGGAGGGGGAAACAAGCTGGAGAGCGGTCCTGCTGAGCACTTTAAAGCCGGAGTGTGAATGGGAGTTTGGTCAGGGAGGATACCTCCGTTTATTTGAGTTCCTCAGCGGAGCGGAGCGAAAATAAGCAGAGCAGGGGTCAGTTTATAATCTCAGCCACGGCTTTGGGGAGTGAGCAGCACTCCATACGCATCACTGATTAAATAAATATATAGTTTGGGACACGACATCTCAAACGACTTCCAGGATGGTGGAAGGGAACTAGATGGACCTTGGTCTTCCTTCGCCAGCAAATTATTATATAACAATAAGAATAAATTAAACTTGCGCCCTGCACGACAGACAGATATAAATTCTGTACGGGCAGCCCCCAGTGTGGGTACAGGCAAACACACAACTCTTTAACATCCACGTGGCTAGGCACAGACAGGGGGGAATTCAAGTTAACATCTCATTCAAAGTACTTGGGAGCTCGAACCCACAATCTCCTGACCCCGAGGGGGGTGGGGGGTGCGGGGGGAGGGGAGCGCGAGTGGCTGCACCCCTCTGAGCCGACCCCAAACACCCTTCACGATTCGCAAGCTGAGTAGCAGCGAGTCCGCAGTCTCTGAGGCTGTGAGATGTATTATACACAGTGATGGGTTGGTATGGGTTGGGCTGGACCATTTAAACGCTGAGAGTGCAGACCTGAAACGTTGCCTTATAAGGGAACAGGAGACAATCAGCCAGTGTCGGCAGTCTCCCCCCCTTCCTCCCCCCGGGACCTGTCTCTCCGAGTGTTCGCAAAACACGACTAGTGTAACGTGAGCCAGAGCTGGCTGTCCATCAGCCCCAGCTCTCGCTCTCACACTCTCCTCTCACTCACACTGTTGATACTGAACCTGGGCTCTCACCTCTCAGCTCGGCCTGGCCTCGGGGTCAGTCAGCAAGCCGCGGGGTCAGGCCCCACCTCGGTGGCTTTGAGACCTCCTCTCCGCGCCCCACCTCCACCCCCGCAATGTCGGGACTCTGAGCTGACAGTCTAGGCTGACGCCCCAGTGCAGTGCCGGGGGGAAGGGAGTGCCACTTGGAGTTCCTGTAACGTGGTGGTTAAAGCACTTGCCTCACAAGCGAAAGGATCTGGGTTCGATCTCCGGGCGAAGCGAAACCTTGGACAAGTTCCTTTACTCCACTCGCCTCTGTTTACCCAGCAGTAAGTAGGAACCCGGTTGTTAGTCGATTGGCGGATCACTTTTGGGGGTAATAATGTTAATGAGATGTTAAACGTTGCTCCCCATCTCTGCGCTGTCCCAGTTTCCTGGCTGTCACCCTCCACCCAAATTGGATAAATTGATCACGGAAACTGGTCACTGTGATCGACAGATGGCATCTGCTGCTCAAAAAATCCTGAGACCAGTCCCCATCCCACAGTGACCCCACTCCACATACACACAGCCCCACCACACACACACACACACATATATATATATATATATGCGCGCGCACACACACACGCGCGCAGCACCCCCATATACACACACAACCCCCCTCCCCCCACATTTATATATACACACACACGGCCCCCAAATATAGATATATGCATACACATAGCCCCCCCACATTCACACACTGACCTTCCCCCACATACACACACAGCCATCCCCACATATACACACAGCCCCCCTCCCCCACACATATACATACAGCCCCCCCCACACACATATCCACACACAGCCATCCCCACATATCCACACACAGCTATCCCCACATATCCACACAAAGCCATCCCCACAAAAACACACACAGCCATCCCCACAAAAACACACACAGCCATCCCCACATATACACACACAGCCACCTCCACATATGCACACACAGCCCCCCCCCACATATACACACACAGCCCCCCACATATACACACACAACCCCCCCACACATATACACACACAACCCCCCCACATATACACACACAGCCCCCCCCCCATATATACACACACAGCCCCCCACATACATATACACACACATATACACACACAGCCCCCCACACATATACACACACAGCCCCCCCCATATATACACACACGGCCCCCCCCACACATTTACACACACAGACCCCCCCACCCCACCCAGTGAACCTTTTGTTTCTCGTCACTATTTGAACTCATGACCAGTCTCCAGTGGTCAGTCTGGTGGGTGGTTCAGCCATTGCCTCTGGTGACACTGCTGGTGATGTGTTGGCAGTGCAGCTCATCCCCCAGTCACTCACATCAGCTGCTCAATCAACATCACCAACACAGGACCATCTCCTTCTCCCTCACTCCCTCCCACCCCCCACTCAACATACCCCAAGTACCCCCCCTCCACCCCACCCACACCGCTGAACGAGCTCCAAGGTTCAAGGTGACATGTTTGGCAATGGGATGTTGGAATTGACCAGCCCCCTGTGGCTATCTCCTGAGTCAGGCAGGTCCACAGTATTCCAGAGCACTGCTGAAGACAGACAGCCCGGCCTGGCTCATCGGCAGGACTTGGAAGGGCAGATCAGTCACTGGGAGTAGGGAATCCTCCCATTCACCTCCTGGTAACCATGCAAGCCAAAACCTTAATGGGTAGGGTGGTCCTACCTGGACAAGCAGTGGGGAAAGCTTACCAGACAGCGATATCAATGGCACACTACACGGTTTTAGCTGGTTAGACGCCAGGAGTTACCCCAACGCACACTCTGGGCTCCCCCCTAAGTCTTGCCCTCTGCCAACCTTCACCTAAATACTCTCCGGAATTAGGTCAGCAAGTTGTCCTTCCAGGGAGAGAGTGCGCATTCTATTCCAAAAATCTGTCTCTGGGATTTCCTTGTGTAGGTGGGATGCGTGGAAATCTCAGTTTGGTTTGGATACTCCTAAGCAACGGTGATGGGTTTCCGCATCTGTCAGACACCTGGCTGAGCAAAAGAAACTGCCAGAAAGCACTCTCAATGGTTATGTGGTTTTAGCTGGTTAGACTCCAGCAGTTGCACACACACACACACACTCTCTCTCACACCCCATCTCAACCCACTCCATCCTCTGCATACCACACTTATCACCTTCCAGCCCTCCATAAGCAAACACATCCCTCAATCCCTCCAAAAATAATTTCTCAGGTTTACTGGGACGGGCAGCTGACAGTCCTTCCAGTACCTTTAACCCCCACCCCTCCTTGCAGTAACTCCAGGCCACAGCTAGCTCAGGTCCAGCGCTCGGCTCCAGGCATTCCTGAAGATATTGCGTTCCTCAGGCAGTGCTGCCTCTAATGAAAGATGTAATCGGGTGTCTCTGGCAGCACCACCTGGCTCTGGGCCTGTTTGTTTTCTCTGCTTATCTCCTCGCACTATCTGGCACTCGCTTCCAGGCCCACTCTCTCCGGCGAGATAGCTCAGCTTTTTACAAGTATCTGGGTTATTGGACATGCGGGAAACAGATGTAATCGTCAACATATTAAACTCACCAGCCTGCGTGGGGGAGGGAGGGACTCACAGCTAGTATCTAAAGGAGAGGCCATGAGGAAAAGATGGGGGAGAAAAGAGGGAATGGATTAGAGAGCTCCAGCAGGGGAGCGAGCACCAGCACAGACAGAATGGGGAAAGAGGAGGGAATGGGGTTACAGAGTAGGTGTCAGGGCACAACCAGACCAATTCCATAAATACCTCACAAAGGTCGCGTGCAATGCTTTATTTAAAGTCACAGAGACACGTTTTTAAATCGACAAAATCATCTGGACGGAGGTAAGTGAGGACTGAGACCTGAGGTTAGACCCTGGGACTGACCCCCTGGGGACTGATTGAGCCCCGGATACTGTCTCTCTGACTGAGATCAGATCATGAGCAGTACCGTTAACAGTGGAAGCTCAATGGGGCGTCAAAGAAAAGTGCATCCAGTCATAAAGCACTCACCTTGGTGTAGGCACTTTGAAAAGAAAAAAAGTCACTTCAACTTCTGGACAGAGTCCTTACCGGGTGGGCGAAGGGGGAAAAGACACAATCATTCAGCGACTTGATAATAGCATCTCCTGTCTGTTAGCACCTCCTCCCAATTGAGGGGTGAATCCAGTCCGGGGGGGGGGGGGGGGGGGAGGGTTGGGGGGTGCAGAGACACAGCAGCCTCACTGGCAAAGCAATGGCTCATTTGCATTACCTAAAATATTTTGCCTTAAAGAACTTTTGGAGCACAAGTACTGAGACACAAGATTTCACTGGCACAACAATACATTGTACAATAAATGCGCCTACACGTCAGGAGAACGTCCCAAGGCACTGGGACAGCAATGGGGTGGTGGGGGGGGGTCCGGAGAGTGAGAGAGGCAAAGTACCTAGAGACAGACGATATAGCATTTCACTTTAGACTTAAATTATTTGTACATTAATTTGTAATTTGTTACAGTCCAGGCTCTCTCCCTCTCTCTGAATGCCTGACCACTGCTCAGGGAAACAGAACGTGGAGCGGGAAGCAACACCTTAAATTAACTTCATATTGTATTGAGTTTCCTGCAGCGGGTTTCTGCTGCACACACTGAGGGCGTGAGACTGCCTGAGGTTCGGGCCCAGCTCTATGTGATGACAGTGGGGGCCGTGCGTCCTG